TATAAATATTAGAGAAAAATTTGACTCCATAATGGTGACTAAATTTCATCAGAGAAATCTAGATTACAATTTCTGTGGTATAAATTATTTCTTATGGAAATGATATTTAAAAATTTATATTATTTATGCAAGTGGGTACTAAGCTTTCAGAATTCACTAGAAACAAATCTTGATTACTCATAATCTAACAGATTTATTTCTTTGAGTGTAAAGTATTTGTAGAACTATTTCTGCTTTAAAATTTTGAAATTTAAGAGTTACCTTATTTGAATCTTCCTGGGGCTCAATTTCTTATTTCTTCAATTTTAAGTTTCCACTTTCATGATCCAACTCATCAGCCAAAATACTAAGTTCAGCAGCCTAATCACCCCCATCAGCCCTCCCGGGTGCATCACTGTGCATACTTTTGATGTAGGAGTCGATCCCCTGCCACAACTGACTCCAAGTAGTTAGCGAATTAAAATGTTTTATCTGCCCCAGTGCACTCCAGTTACTTATCAGATGACCAGCAAGGGCAGCTTAGTGTCACACAGTTGGTCGGAGTCTGGACTCATGGCACAGTGCTCTTTCCCAGTGCAGCATGCTTCTGGGCTGTGCAGCACTATCACAGGTCTCCAGCTCCATGTTCCCCAAGAGGTAAGTCCAACCTCAGGGGGGCGGTGTAGATACACATCACACTCTGAAAAGGATGGAAAATGATAGAAATGCCAGTCCCTTTCCCTTCTAATCTCCCTTGTTTTAATCTCTCTTTTTCTGTAGTTAAAAAACCACATATTCATGTGATTTACCTATTCAGTTTCATAATCTATGAAATAAGAAAGATATTGGTATTTATCTTACAATATATGGTACATAATAAACACTTAAAATGCCACTGCAGCCTGGCCAGCGTGGGTCAGTGGTTGAGCATTGACCTATGAACCAGGAAGTCACAGTTTGATTTTCGGTCAAGGCACATGCCTAAGTTGTAGGCTCGATCCCCTGTGAGGGGTATGCAGGAGGCAGTCGATCAATGATTCTCTCTCATCATTGATGTTTCTCTCTCTTCCTTTCTGAAATCAATAAAATATATTTTTAAAAATGTTACTGTATATTGTATCTGTCTTGTTTTCTCACATTAAGAGCACACATATACATGCATGCACTCCCTTTTTAAAAACCAAATGTAATTAAATTGCTACAATTCCTCCAGGATACAGTCCTCTTCCATTGACCCTTTGCCCCAAGTATAAATACAGATAATGTCTTAATTCTGCTCAGCAAGACTGAGACCAGGAGGCAATGGTTTACTGAGCAATACTGGCATTCTAAGGCATAACTGGTAGGGATTACATCATAAAACAGACAAGAAATGGCACTAAAATAGGATATTGTACATGATCTCCCAGACTTAGACAGCCCAGGTTCATATCTTAGCTCTTCCACTCATTAATGATATGACCTTGAAAGTACCTAGGCCTCTCAAAATCTCATCTGTGAAAAGGGGATAATAATAGTACCTACCTCATAAAGTTGTTCACAGGTTTATATTAAATACATGGAAAGAGCTCAGCATCATGCTGGGCAAAAGTGAGTGTTCAGCATGTATAGTTTCAGTGTTACCTTTCTGAAAATTCACGAGGTAGGAGTCAGTAAACTTTTCAGTAAAGGGCACATAGTGAATATTTTTGGCTTTGGGAACCATGTGGTTTCTGTCAACTACTCAGCTCCGCCCTGGGAGAAGCAGCCACAGACAATATGCATAGAAACCGGCATGGCATGATTCAATAAACCTGTATTTGTGGACACTGACGCTTAAATTTCATAAAATTTTCATGTGTCATAAAATGACATTCTTTTTTACTTATTTCTCAATTATTTTAATGTAAAAATCATTCTTAGCTCCTAGGCTATACAAAACCCGGTGGTGGGCTGAATTTGGCCTGCAGGCTATAGTATTCTAACAACC